TCTCTCTCTCTCTCTCTCTCTCTCTCTTTCTGTCTCTACCTAAGGTAAAGGTAAAGGTTCCCTTGCTCAAAAGCCAGTCGAGTCCGACTCTAGGGTTGCGGTGCTGATCTCCATTTCAGAACCGAAGAGCCGGCACTGTCCGAAGACGTTTCCGTGGTCATGTGGCCAGCATGACTAAACACCAAGGTGCATGGAACGCTGTTACCTTCCCACCGAAGTTGTACCTATTTATCTACTTGCAATTTCTTGCTTCCAACTGCTAGGTTGGCAGGAGCTGGGACCAGAGATGGGAGCTCAGTCCATCATGCGGCACACTCGGGGCTCAAACTGCTGAACTACCGACCTTCCACAGCCTGCAGCTCAGCGTCTTAACCACTTGAGCCACCGCAGCTCCTCTCTACCTACCTACCTACCTACCTACCATCCATCCATCTATCCATCTATCTATCCATCCATCCATCCATCCATCCATCCATCCATCCATCTCTCTACCTACCTACCTATCATCTATCTATCCATACATCATCTCTCTCTCTCTCTCTCGCTCTCTTTCTGTCTCTACCTAAGGTAAAGGTAAAGGTTCCCTTGCTCAAAAGCCAGTCGAGTTCCTCTAGGGGTGTGGTGCTCATCTCCGTTTCCAAGCCGAAGAGCCAGCCCTGTCCGAAGACGTTTCCGTGGTCATGTGGCCGGCATGACTAAACACCAAGGCGCACGGAACGCTGTTCCCTTCCCACCGAAGTGGTACCTATTTATCTACTTGCAATTTCTTGCTTTCAAACTGCTATGTTGGCAGGAGCTGGAACTAGAGACCGGAGCTCACTCTGTCATGTGGCACCTGGGTCTTGAACTGCTGAACTACTGACCTTCCACAGCCTGCAGTTCAGTGTCTTAACCACTTGAGCCACCGCAGCTCCTAGCTTCTTAAACAGCCTTTCCAAAAAAAGAAGGAACACCTTCCCCCCCCCCTTTATAGTGAGGTCTGAAATATCACTTTGTTTTTCATAAGGGCAGGCAAGGACAGCCACACATCTCTTTGCCCCCCTCCCGGGGGGGCAGCTCTCCTTGGTTTCCCAGAAACTCCTGTTTGGGTCCAGGAAGAAGGAAGCCGGCAGGAAAGGCAGCCTGTGACCTCTTGCAGAGCTCTGCAGCCAGTGCTGTGCCCCCCCCCCACTTTAACCACTGCTCATGCAGCTGGCACTGTTTAACATTTGTCTTGGGGCGCCCAGCTGTGTCCAGGTGTTGCGGGAATCCTGGAAGCGCTGCCAGGCCCAGCCAGATGGCTTCCGAGAGCCCGCAGATGCTTTGGGTCCAGTGCCGAAGTCTCCGATTTCAGACGGTACGCGAAGCTGCCTGCTACTAAATCAGACCCAGTGGTCTATCAGTGTTGCCGACTCAGGCTGGCAGCCGCTCTCTCCAGGGTCTCAAGCAGAGGTCTTTCACATCACCTACTCCCAGGTCCTTCTTTTTAGCTGGAGATGCCGGGGGTTAGGGTTAGCAGCGGGTTCCACGTTCAGTCCCCAGCATCTCCATGTTCCATTCCAAAGGCAAGGTCGCTGGGGTCCAGAAAGCAGGGCTGGAGCAGAAGACCCGTGCTGGTAGGCCCACCTGGCAGTCTGGGAGGAGGTGTCCCTTAGGGACTTCAGCCTCAGGCTGTTCGAGGCCTTGGGGTTGTGCCTGAGGGCAGGTGGGCAGCCAGGGCAGATAGGATCCCTGCAACCAGTCCCTGACATTTTGGACCCTGCATGCAAGGCCTCACAGTGATCTCCCCAGGCTGTGATCAGAGCAGGGGTCAGCAGGGCAGGGTCCCACTTTTCAAGGAACAGCGACAGCCATGTACAACGAAGGAGACCTGAGCCCCTCGGACTACAGGCCAAGGTAGGAGCCCACTCCTTCGGCGGGAGTGCCACCCCTCCAGGACAGGCTGACCCCTCAGTCCTTGGGCAACTTCCTCATTGACCGACAGCACCTCAGTCTTCTTGACTGTCCAGAACAATAAATGTGCAGGCCTTTGCTGAAGGCCATAAGCCAAACAGGACAGAGACCTTCCCTGAGGCATTTGCAACGGAAATCAAATCTTCTGACCGGTCAGTCTTGACACTGGATGTCCCCAGGTGAAGATCGGTAAAGGTAAAGGTTTCCGAAGAAGAAGAAGAAGAAGAAGAAGAAGAAGAAGAAGAAGAAGAAGAAGAAGAAGAAGAAGAAGAAGAAGAAGAAGAGATTGGATTTATACCCCAGCTGTGCCAGAGCTTGTGACTGACCCAAGGTCACATCAGCAGGTGCAAGTGGAGGAGTGGGGAATCAAACTCGGTTCTCCCAGATTAGAGTACGCACACGGAGCTCTTGACAGAAACTGCTCTTTTTCAAGGACAGCTGTGCCAGAGCTTGTGACTGACCCAAGGTCACATCAGCAGGTGCAAGTGGAGGAGTGGGGAATCAAACCCGGTTCTCCCAGATTAGAGTCCACACACTTAACCACTACACCAGACTGCTCGAAAGCCAGTCGAATCTGACCATTTCCAAGCCAAAGAGCCAGCGCTGTCCAAAGACTTCTCCTTGGTCATGTGGCCGGCATGACTAAATGCCCGAGGCGCACGGAATGCTGTTACCTTCCCACCGAAGTGGTACCTATTCATCTACTTGCAATTTCTTGCTTTCGAACTGCTAGGTTGGCAGGAGCTGGGGCCAGAGATGGGAGCTCGCTCCGTCATGCAGCACTCGGGTCTCGCACTGCCGAACGACAGACCTTCCAGTTTGCAGCTCAGTGTCTTAACCTCTGAACCACCACGAGACCAAAGCACAAAGTCAGTCTTGGAGAGCAGGCTTCCCACTTGATTCTGGAGAGCGGGCACGGCTGTTGTCCACCCCTGGACAATTTTTGCACACCCCTCGATAGCTGGGGAAGTGGACTGTCTCTGTCACTGCATCCATCAAGGGCCAGGGCTGCAAAGGCGGGACGGCGTCAGGGGCGGGGGCTTGCTCTCAGTCATCCCACAATGCTCCTGAAAGGCACGGCAGCCCGAACTGGGCACGCTCGATTGTGATGAAGCCTCGAAACTGACAGCGACAGAGGAACCTAAGCGGGGGGGGGGGGGGACACAACCACATCCCAGGCTATTTGCTCGGCTTCCCACAGACTTTTAAAATAATGATAATATTAATCGTAATAGTGACTTTAGAATCAGATTGCTTGGGATCATGGGCGATAGGGGTTAGGGCGGGATAGTAAATCGAAATAAATAAATAATAGGTGGCTTCATTTATGGCTCTTTTATATCCCATCATTGAGTTTCTTGGCATTAATTGTCTCTGGTTTCAATGGAGCTGAACCCTCTGTGAGCATTTCAGTGAAGTAATTTTGGATAAAAGCTAATGTAAAAAAGGAACGTTAAACCCACCTGGTTGTGGGGGGGGGAGAGAGAGAGAGAAAAGCCCCTGGTCTGGGACTTTAAAAACAGCTTCCTTTGATTGCCGAAAGGACTAGATGGTGTTGTGCAACTCGGTTCACTGGCTAGTTGGTATTGACCAGGTAACTATAGATGCACCTGTACAGAAATCAGAGCTGGGCCTGGATGGGGTTTCTCTGTGCAATGCAAGGCTTGGCGTGGGGGGCACAGAGAGGATCTTTCAGTTCAGAGGCTGCAGGAGGCTCAAGCAGCAGCAGCAGCACCCCCTCCACCCCCACCCTCCCCAGTGGCTCATTCAGCCCCCCCCCAGCTATTTTGCTAGGAGAAATACATCCTCCTCCTGAGGTTGCTAGGCAACCACAATGTGCTTCTCCACCTCTGTGCCTGAAAAGC